AGTATCTTGCTGAGATCACTGACATGTTTGAAGAATTTCGGAGAGAATGGGCACTGCGGTGGGATAAACATTTAGAGACACAGGATTCTTTCTGGGACCCAATAGTCCAGTTCACCCACAGTGCATGCCCTAGGCCCTCACCGATGGAGTATTCCCCCATAACTTATGACCAATGGCAAGCGTCACTCAAGAAAAAATCAAAGCGAGCTGCGACAGGACCCGATGGTTTGTCTAGGGATGACTTGTTGCGGATGCCTAAGCATCTGACACTTCAACTCTTAAAAATTTTTGAAGCAATAGAGACGGAAGGCCAGGAATGGCCAGAGCAAATGGTACAAGCTTTTGTCATTGCACTTGCCAAGACCAACACGGCAGCCTGCGTTAATGACTATAGACCCATTTCCATTTTCCCTGTTGCTTACCGAAATTATTCGAGCATACGTGCCAGACAAGTCATTGCCCACATGGCAGCCCTAGCCCCAGAAACATGTGCAGGTAGTGTCCCTAATAAGGCAGCCCATTCAATTTGGTATTCCATTTTGGCAGACCTTGAGATGGCTCATCACACTGATTGCGAACTTTCAGGTGCGGTGATTGACTTAGTTAAAGCATTTAACTTACTCCCCCGAATCCCGATTCTTCAGATCATGCGTCACTTACAGGTGGCCCCTGAAATTTTGAGAGGTTGGAGTTCCGCCCTGGTTGCCATGCGTAGGAGGTTCAAGTTACGCAATTGTGTAGGTCCAGCGGTGCCATCCACAACTGGTTATGCTGAAGGCTGCGGCCTCAGTGTCGCAGCAATGCTGGCTGTGAACATAGTGGCGCACAGGTGGATGGTTTGCAAACACCCCACATCGCAGCTGTGGACTTACGTCGACAATATTGAGTTGACATGCCCAAGTGCCACAGAAGCGAAGCTTGCCCTTGACTCGCTTTTGCAGTTTACCCAGGTTCTAGACGTTCAGGTAGATTTGGCAAAGACCTATGTTTGGAGTTCCAAACGTGAAGGTAGAAGAGAACTTCGACATGATGATGAACAAGAGTTTCAGGTTCTGTTCAAAGCCAGAGATCTAGGAGGACATATGACATACACACTCCAGCATACCAATGGAACTTTGACCAAACGCCTGGCAAAAATGCCAGACTTGTGGAACTTGCTAGCAAGATCGTTGGCATCATATAACCAAAAACTCCGTGCGCTCACAGCCAAGGCCTGGCCCCTGGCATTACATGGGGTGCAAGCTGTCAACTTAGGTGAACATCACTATACATCCCTCCGGACAGGTGCAACTCGTGGTTTGCAGGTCCACACAAGTGGCATGAATCCCATGGTTCATCTTAGTTTAATCGAACACCCGAAGCATGACCCCCAGTATCACGCTCTACTTCAGACAGTAGTCCTCATGCGGTCACATGGACCACCTATTGAACACTTTGAGTTTATCATGCAGCAATTGCATTCGCCCTGGCAGCGCCGGCAGCCCCCACCAGGACCGTGCCATGTGCTGCTCACGAGACTTCACCAAATAGGCTGGTCATGGACCCATGGTGATTCGTTTTTAGACCATTGCGGAATGCCAATTTTCTTGTTCCAATGCCCCATCCAAGAAGTCAAGTGTCGACTGCGTGATGGGTGGCAGCAGAGAGTTCTAGGACTTGTTCAAACGCGTCAAACCTTTGAGGGAGCACCCTACATGTCACCTCAGATCACAGTTGCAGACATCCACAAGCACCCACCAGAGCAACAGGCGCTGCTGCGTACGGCCTTGAATGGAAGTTTTTTCACGGCTGATCATGCTCCTCACCAAAATCCCCAGGCCAGTGACCTTTGCAAGTTTTGTAACCAGAGAGACAGCCAGAAACACCGCCATTGGGACTGTCCTTTCTTTGATGACTGCAGGAAGTGTTTAAATGCAGAGCAGATAGAAGGGCTCCAGACCATGCCACCCATCATATGCAATCACGGATGGGTACCAATGCCGCCATCACATGCAAAGTTTGTTGCACAGTTGCTGAATACTCCAGATGAGACAATCAGTTTTAATTTGCCGCCTTCCCAAAATCCTTATGTCCACGTGTTCACAGATGGATCCTGCATGAACCCAACAAGCGCCATGACCAGACTGGCCAGTTGGGGCGTAGTTCTAGGACACCCAGATGAAGAGACGTTTTGGCCTTTGTCCAATGGTATCCTCCCGGGGTACCGGCAATCAACCATCCGAGCTGAAGCAGTTGCAGCGATTTCAGCGTGTGAGTATGCCATCTTGCATCGCACCTACATCACACTCTGGGTTGATAATGACCTCCTCTATAAGCGTCTAAAGAGATTTCAACACAGTCAGGTGCGGATTGCGAGCAATTAACGAGATGCAGACCTGTGGAAACGCCTTTGTACGCTAGTTCAACGGATGGGTCCTTTACTGCAACATGTTGGAAAAATAGTCAGCCATCAAAACCCAGAAGGTGCTGCTGATGAAGGTGAAAGGTGGTTGATCGCAGGTAATGAAGCCGCAGATGCACTAGCAAGTTCAGCCCTGCTAAGGTATCCAGCACTAGCAGAAGCCTTGTTTCAGCTCAAAAAAGATGTTGCAGATGTCTCTAAAATGCGTAATTTGGTTCACAAAGTTATCATCGCGGTCGGACTCAAGGCAGTCACATCAGCTGCTCCGAAACCAACTGAAACATTAGCCGAAGCACCATCAGAAGTGATGCAAGCCCTTGAGTATCAACCCAGCCCGGTTGATCTTACGAACGTATCAAAGCGATTTGTATTTCCAGGTAATCACACTGTGCTTGAGTGGTTTTTTCAGGTCTTCGATTGTGATGCTCCGTTAGCAATGGTAAGTTGGTTTCAGTTGGCCATTCTTTATGAGCGTCAGACCAAATCACATGGAATCCTTTATAAACCTTCAAGTAAAAAGTACATGTTTGCCACTCCCCAAAACAAACCACCATTTAATAAGCGAGCGAACCATCTGTCCAGATGGTTGCAGGGAACTTGTGGGCCCACACTGCGAGTCAGTCATGCCAGGCCGTGCAGTCACGTCTTGCGTTTCTGGAGTATGTGTGTTACGTTGCGGATGAAGTCAGAATTTCTTGAACAATCGGACCAATACCTTGCAGAGCAACAGCCTTTTTATGGGAAGGTGACAGAATTGCATGGACTTTGAGACCGCCATTGGATCCTCGCAGATTCCGCTGCGCTGAGTTTGCTAGACAGTTCAAAAAGGTGTGTCAAAAAGGTGATGGTTAATAGTGGTTATAAGTGATACTATGGTTATATACCATTGGTTCTGAATATATACCATCTCAGCTTATTTTATCAAAGGTGGAAGTTCATATACCCTCTGGTAATTTTTCACAGTTTGCTATTGAAAAATATTGAACATTGCCATCTATAGTTTGTTGATTTACCTATTAAACATGGGGACTTTCAATAACAAACTGTTAGTTTACCAGAGGGTAATATGGGCTTTCCTTGGATATAGTTATTGACATGTATTACAGTAACCATACTATCACTTACAGTAGGATTACAGTTCAGTTAAACATGCCAATAATGGGTATACCAAGCTCACTGTTCTCGCTGGAATGGTGCTTAGGATTCGAGGAATTATCCCAACATAGACTTATTTCAGGTTATTAAATTATGTTATTTTTACCTAGATAGTGTGGGTATGAGTCAAAATTCAAGACCTTAGGGACCACAGCTATTTAGTATTAAAAACATCCAATAATTGGGGTACTCCATTTTGACCCCATACTCATATCACTTCTATTATCAGTGTTATATCTATATTAGTTGTAGGAAGTTGTTAAATGTCTCTATAATTACTCTTTAATTAACATACACTTATACACTTGTTGATTAGGTATTGTAGGAAGTGAGGCTACCTTAGTTATTGGGGATTATGAACTAGCTCATATGAATGGGAAACCTATCAACCATCTAGTTGTTAATGAGATGGGATAGAGGTCTCTTTTTTCTGGTTCATGTAGGAATTGTCGCCAAACATAGATGGCGCGCTTTCATGGGGATAGATCGCCAGCAATTTACGGATGGAACTATAAGGACCGAATAAGGACCCGGACGGATCCAGGGATCGTTTTCATAAGACACATCATCCAGAAGGTGCTGCTGTGTTTTTTTTAAATATCCTTTTTTAATATCCAGATATCATGGAACATATTGTGATTTACAGTAATTGTAATTTAAGCAAGAAAACACGGTGATTTTCAGCGTGATTTCCATCATGGCTGGGGAATCGAGCGATTTCTGGAGGTTTTTTTTCCATGGGAAAATCATCGTTTTATGGGGGCTTTTCCAGCCAGACTGACTACCGGAAGGTAAGGGAACATTTTCAAGAACCACTTGGATAATTTGGGGATAACTTAATCTATTTTTATTAGAAACGCCTCTCGTTTTGAAAAGCTGTCCCGGAAAAAGATTGGTATCTTCCAGACTTGCCCTAGCCTGGTATCTTTGGGGGTATTTCACCCAATGTATATGGCTAATTTTCCATGACGCAACCTCTGACAAAAATCCCCATCGCCCGTCGCCATCCCATTGACCATGGCGATTGGATGACCAAATCATGGTTTAATCAACGTTGAATCCCATTTGTTCATGGTAAAAAAAACATATTTTTTCATGGTTTAATCCCATTTTTCCATGGTTTAATCCCATTTTTTCATGGTTTAATCCCATTTTTTCATGGTTTAATCCAATTTTTTCATGGTTTAATCCTATTTTTCCATGGTTTAATCCAATTTTTTCATGGTTTAATCCCATTTTTTCATGGTTTAATCCAATTTTTCATGGTTTAATCCTATTTTTCCATGGTTTAATCCAATTTTTTCATGGTTTAATCCCATTTTTTCATGGTTTAATCCCATTTTTTCATGGTTTAATCCCATTTTTAATACCATTTTGTTCATGGTAAAAAATCCCATGGTAAAAATCCCATTGGATTTCCCGATTGACCGATTTACCATGTCAGGCGTTGTGGAGCAGCTGCTCTTGGAGGTCTGTCCTCGAGCCATGGAGGTGCGACACGTGACGTAGTGGTCATGGTGGTCACTTTTTCCCATTGAAAAAAGGGGTAAATGTAGTACTCACCCAAAAAAGATAGAAAGATAAATGAAAGCCCAATTATTCACCATAGATTAATAGATGGTAAATCTAGAAAGTTACTGTACATCATGAAAACATCATCAAAACAAGATCCACACATTTTTATCAAACAATAATAATGATGACAATAATAGATGATAATAAATAGAAATCGTAAGAACATAATCACGATTAAGACACAACAATAATCAGCACAGTCATATTTCATGATTTCTATAAGAAACATCATGAAATCGTCATAGATAGTAAGTCACCATATCGAGTGGGGATTTACTTTTTGATCTTTTTGGTGACTGTCATCGGGTCATCGGGAAGTCGCAAAAACACCTTGAGGTGACCTTTGTGAACTTTGCCAAGATCCTAGGTGCGGGGGATCGGCGAATGGGCACGTGACCCAACATTTAAGTGGTGAAATCTCGGGAAATCCCCCTGTTGAATCCGTTTGGTGGTTTGGAACATGTTATTTTGCCATACATTGGGAATAAGACTCCCAACTGACTCATATTTTTCAGAGGGGTAGGTCAACCACCAACCAGGAATCCATTTGTAAATTGCGAGTTCTCTCTAGCCTCCATTGCTGTCAAGGGCTTCACTTGGGCTTTCCTCATCACGCGTCACCAGACGAACTTGTTTTTTCTGCAAGACAAATGTTAGAGCTTCAGAATCCATATTTATGAATATGGCTCAAACATCATAGACTCAAAGGAACCATTTGTTCTACCTTCAGCTGAAACCCGACTAGGATGCTCTCTCAAGCTCGCACAACAGGCATCATGCGCTACCGGCTGGGCTTCACTTTGCAGGACCTTGGAAAACCACCGGGGCAGGCAGCAATTTCTGCCGTGCGTTGATGCTTCAGCTGTTGAAAGTCAAGAACTTCATCAACATTTGGGTGTGTCTGAAAATAGTGTACCCCTAAACCCAATGGTTAATGATCATTATCCCTATTAAATTGCTATTTCATTGGGAATATACCCTATTTTCAGACAAACCCATTTCTTCCTCTAATTCCTGACCAAAAGTGCCTTCGCACTTTAGCTATGCTCATGAAGGTGATCGTGTCAGGGACAACGGATTCTTGTCATGAAACCCAAGGCCGCCTTTCACCGGGCTCCGTGTCAGATTTCAGAGGGGTAAAGTGGTTGTACCAAGGTTTTTGTTTTGCCTAATCCTGCAACTTTGGGTTGTATGAGATATTCAATAATCCAGGTAATTTTCATGATCTCCCTATTTCCAAGCCTACAAAAACATTCTTTCCATTTTTGTTGGCTATGTTCCCAACTATTTGCAACCTTTCCTCATCTTCAAGACACGCAAGGAATATTCCGAGATCATGGCCGCCTTCCGACGTGAGGAGTTTTAGGGTCCAGGATTAGGATTCATCGAAATGGGTGGCGGCTGGTGGTTTCAAGTATCAACCATATTTGAGAGCCTGATTAATCATATCAAAATGACACACACATCATAGATATTGACATGTTTGGTTGCTTGGTGTTTGGTGTTTCATTTTGGACATGTCCACATATGTCATCCATATTCGAGATGATGATCCCAAATGACATTTTTTGTTTTTTCGACGAGGTAAAGGCACCGCTGTGAAATTTGACTCCAATTTGGCATCCCCAAGCAGCATCAGAGATTCAAACGGGTCTCAGAATTTCACCATACAGCACGCGGCAGGACCGTTCAGGACGAGAGAAGCTGAACCTCTTGGAGGCAAGAAGCTGCCACTCGGTGGGGGTTAGAGGGGTTGGGAGGTCAGGGAGTGTAGGTTGTTTGTTCCATTTTTGAACCGACCTGGCAATTTTTGAAGCAAATGACCTGGCTGAAACCCATTTGCCTCCTGGACTGAGTGGGGCTTTAAAGAGACGTTCCCAAGGGGAGACTGGGGATGATTCTAAGTACTTCCCCATGGGTTAATCCATCAGAAATGTGTGAATCCATTGGATAATATATATATATAAATAATACCTACACATTCGTGCACGGATTGATAGATAAGATAAGATTAGTTTAGATAAGATTAGTTTAGATTAGATTCATATATATATATATATATAGTGTGACATACAGACATACATACACGGAGACCGGCGGGAACTACAGAGCCCAAGGTCTCGATTGGTTGGGCTTTGATATCTCTCAAGAGGTCCGGCGGCGTGTTGACGGTATGACATCTCTAAGATGAATGGATGGTGAATAATGGATAATCATGGTTGATTATGATGGTTAATGATGGTTAATGACGGTTAATAGTGGTTATAATGTTTTTTTTGATATGATACCCTCTGGTAATTTGTCACATAGCTATTGAAAATACCCCATAGACATAATTGATTTACCTATTCAAAATGGTGATTTTCTATAGCTATGTAAACGTTTACCGGAGTGTACTTCACAGAGTTTGGGATTTTGGGGACACTAATTATTTCAGAAATTGGTAGCCTCTGGTAATTTAACATAGCTATTGAAAATTGCCATAGTTGATTTTCCCATTAAACATTGCCATTTTCAGTAGCTATGTTAAACTACCAGAGGCTACCAATATGAAGTCGATGAAATATCCACAAGAACCTGGGGCACACGCAGGATGAGTCACCCGTCGGATTTCAGGACTTGGAAGCTGTGTGGCACGAGGACCTCAAGGCGAGACGACCGGAGAAATCATGAAGATCTCAGCCGGAGAACAGCTGGGGATTTGTGGGAAAATCCTGAGATGTGGCTGTGGCTGGGATTTGGTTCATGCAAGATTGATCAGATTCCAAGTTCAGGATGGTTTATACCAACTATTTCTACCGGACATTGGGGTCATTTGATTCTGAGACCTGGATCCTAAACAGCTACCGATCTTGGTCCTAAACCATCATCAAGGCAAGTGAGCAAATCATGGTTGCACGATATTGCATGAAACACATTGAGGAGTTTGGGTAATTTGATCATGTTTGATCTTTCAAAATTGAAAATCTGTCTCCAGCACATGGAAATTTATTAAACCTCTTAGTTTTCTTCGGTATCATATCTTTATGTTCCTCATTTTTTGTGGTGCCCATCTTGCTGGCTAAATCGACACCATATCCACAACTTCTGAGTCTTGGTGGCCAGCGGTGCCAGGTCCAAGCTCAAGCGAATTCCTCGCAGACCGAGGAGGTGCGATGTTTCTTCAATCAGATTCAAGTATCATGAAATGAAAAGGCTAAAACATGCTAAAAACATGACTGAAAATGTCTACACCGAAAAATTACTGAGTTTTTTCTTACATAATGATTAATGTGGTGTAAATTTATCACAATCATAAGCATTTCAGCATGGTTAAGCAGGAGTAAATCCCCGATGTTGGATCCGATGATGGTGGTTGAGTTTCACTGGTAAGTACGATCCCCCATCGAAATCCGGAAAATTAGGTCATAAAAAATGGGGGTTACACTCCCATTTTTTGGGATTTATATGGAGACTTAGAACCACCATGCCCATAAATGCCATTTTTTTAGCACCCCGAAATACCATTGACCTTGGTAGTATCTGGTCGAGCCACTAGAAACCATCTCTGCAGGAGCTTACATCAGCTACATCTCATGTCTGGTTCTAAACATTCGGAATGAACATCATGAGAGTGAACACACACACACATATATATATATTTATACATACATACCATGATATACCTAAGATTTTGTTGGTCACATAAACCAGATATCGAACTTCACTGGTTCATTTCCCAGGTTTTCCATGGAGCATCAGTATCCGCGTAGGAGTACGGAATCAACGACTTCGACATGGTGCGCCTGGTACGGGCGGTACGTGAACGCGAGGCACACTTCGTTGCCAGGCGCTTGAGGTGCGCCGCTAGGAGGGGTTGATCTATTTATCTAATAATGATTAACGTCTATACTTATTATCTATTGTCTATTTAGGGGGTCAACATTTGTCTATATCGATTTACTGATTTAGCTATATCGATTTATTCGTTCATTTAGGTTCAATCCAGCGTTCTTCTACCACAATGGGAGCACTTTGGGATTTGCCTTTCCTTAAAGCTGAAGTCAATTATTGCCCCCTGTATCTGGGGTGTTGGCAGCACCACCAACAGTGGATAGTGCTTCGAATTCCATGATCCTGGTTGCTGAGCAACAAGCATTGAAAGTTCCAGTAACGAACATTGGGAGTTGACCAACAAAGGGCAGTCTAAGCAACAAACATGAGGCTTTGACCAACGTGTGAAGAGAGTTCTGAGATGTTTGACAGTTTGACCCGTCCAAGCTGTGCGTCAGGGAGCTCGCCACTCGCAAGGGGCAGGACTGGGAGCTGCATGGATGGTTGACTTGGGCTGGTTGAGCTGGTTGAAACTCTCCAAAAAATGGTGCCTTTCCATCTCTACAATGATGAGTTGAAACCACCAGTGGATTGTTGTTGCTTCCTGTCCCTACCTTTGTTGGGTATGTGCCATAATCATGTCCCGTAAAATCCTCTGCTACCAAAATTTTGGGCTTGAAAGCATCAACCAGTATCATTGATAGTATAAGGCCTTGGTTGGTTGGATTGATCACCACTGCAGTGGGAATTAATTGGTTGATTTGAGGCAATGGGGATATAATTGATTCCTGCTTTGCCCAACACCTCATTTTGCCCAACACCACCTTTAGGTTTTCAAGGTTCTAGGGTTTAAGAATTAGAGTTCTAGGGTTCAGGTGTTTAGTTTAGTCAATTTTATTATGTTTGAGTTATAAGTTAGGTGTTTTGAAGAGCGATACGTTCAGGATGACTTGTGCAGTGACACACATCCCAAACCTGAGCTTTTCAGGAATGCCATAATGAGCCACCATTGACCTTATTTTGGGAGTGTCTCGGATATTCGCAGCATATACCCTCCTGTTCAACGATGTTCAACGAACGTAGATGTGGAAAAACCAAGGAATTGTAAATAATTTTCCTTGGAGAAAAAACTGTGGGTTTTCCACATCTCCAGATCTGTTGCCCCGTGAGGAGTTGCCGGAGGCGGTTCGCAGAGTTGTCTTCTGCGGGGAAAAAATGATGGACATGTGATACAAAACAATATGATCAACATGCACATGTCCGATTGCTGACATCTTTTCTTGACACTGATATTTGGCAATGGAGATCATACTGTTGGTGTTTTTAGGGCTACACATGAAATGTTCAGCTTCAACCCGGTGACCAGGGACCTTCCACTCCCCCTCCAACCACTCCACCATGATATTCCCATGATTATTCCTGCGAGGTGGGGCTAACTGTTGGGTTTGTGGGGATATACAGTAACTACGATCTCTATGGGTGATTACCCTAAGGTAAACTAACAGTTCGACGTGGTGTTTACCCACTATTTATCATTTTCCTGGGCCCCATCGCTTCTCCTCACATCTTTTTCTATGTTTACCAAGTATTTCACCAACCAAACCACTTTTATCGATCGTTTTTCCCATATTTTCCCGTATTTTCCCATTAACATCTCCATTTAGTTCGGGCATTTTCCATTCAAGCCACGTGTTTCCCAGCAATGCCAGGATGCCGCCGCGGTGGTGACCAAGGCCCAGCTGCCGGAGCTGCTGTCGGAGCTGAATGTGACGCTGGCGTCGCCGGATGTGATGCTGGAGGCACTGGGGATCAGCTTAGTAGGGAATGGAGGAATGGGATGATTGCCCCATTCCGTACTAAGCATCAGTAAGTTATTGTTGTGATAGTTTTACCATATTGTCATAGTGCTTTTTTCCCCAACAGCGTAAGCTGATGGGGTCTTCAGCCCAGAATAGCTCCGGTGTGCACTGGTGCAGGCGCCGGGTCAGGTTCAACGAGGTTCCGGAGAAGGTTCCGGAGAAGGTCTGGGAGGCTTTGGTGCAGAGCCAGGTCAGGTTCAACAGGGTTCCGGAGAAGGTTCCGGAGAAGGTTCCGGAGAAGGTCTGGGAGGCTTTGGTGCAGAGCCAGGTCGGGTTCAACAGGGTTCCGAAGAATGTTTGGGAGGCTTTAGTCAGGTTCAACAGGGTTCCGGAGAATGTTCCGGAGAAGGTCTGGGAGGCTTTGGTGCAGAGCCAGGTCGGGTTCAACAGGGTTCCGAAGAATGTTTGGGAGGCTTTGGTCAGGTTCAACAGGGTTCCGGAGAATGTTCCGGAGAAGGTCTGGGAGGCGTTGGTGCAGAGCCAGGTCAGGTTCAACAGGGTTCCGAAGAATGTTTGGGAGGCTTTGGTCAGGTTCAACAGGGTTCCGGAGAATGTTCCGGAGAAGGTCTGGGAGGCTTTGGTGCAGAGCCAGGTCAGGTTCAACAGGGTTCCGGAGAAGGTTCCGGAGAAGGTCTGGGAGGCTTTGGTGCAGATGCAGCTGAGGTATTTCCAGTGCTTGGGTTGCAGCACGGTTCAGAATGATTTGTAAAAATAAAACGTTGCGGCTATGGGGATACCACCGAAGGTTTTTTTTCCTAAATAATGATTGATTACCACTATTCACTATATGATGATTATTTTTTTCGTGATGGTGATGATGATGATGATGGTGATGGTGATGATTGTTATCACTATTATTGTTATTACTAGTATCACAATAGTACTTATAACTTATAACTATGACCGTATTATCACATGATTGGCACCATACATATTAATTACATATTACATATAGTATATATATATACATATTATAGATGGCCTTGACAACAACCATTATAATCATTATGATTCTTATCGCTAACATTTATAGTTATCAATTTTTTTGAACATTACTATATGTTCACACGACTACAAAGTAAAATTCTCAATAGCTATGATTTTGATTAGCATGCTGATGGTTATCGATCACAATTCGATCATTTACGACATGTGATGGTTATAGATCGATCCTTGGCCAAACATGTTGGGATTGGTGGCCGATCCAATGGGGTACCTGCTGTTTGCGGCACAACTTGAGCAACTTATCATCTGAAGGGCAGAATTGTTTTGCTAAAGTTGTTTTGCTAAAGTTGGGAGCGTCCATTGCCATATCGCCATATTGCCATGTTTGTGGATCAGAGGGTTTTGTGGTTCCACTAGGTCATCAATTTTTCATGTTTCAATAGATCATTTTCATTTCCTTGCATTCTAAATCAGGATTGACAAACTGATAATGGCTTGAAACGGCTTGAAACCCGATTTTCTGCCCCAATTTGGAACCCATCTTCGTTTGGATGATTTCCATATCTTTAAATTGTCTCTATCGGTTGAGCCGACCTTTCTTTGTGGATTGATTCACATACCCTGGTACAGCTCCCAATATTCATATCCACCTTAATTTGATGAAACATAACCCATTGATTTGATTTATATCATGATTCCAGTCATTTTCCCATGTATTTCCTATATTTTCCTATCATCTTCATCCATCATGTTGTTCAATCATTTCATACAATAATTACCTATCATTTCCCGATTTTTAAAATGAACGGCCCAACCACTCCGATTTCATCCCCTGGGGTGCCGTGTTGCCTGCGCCAGGCTGTGGAGGTGCGGCGGTGCGGCGGTGCGGGTGCTTTGGATGATGCCGTCACAGCACTAGAGATTCAATAAATGTGGATGTATAATGTATGATAATGTATGTATAGTATATGAGTAAACGACAATTTTTTTTTGTAGTACTATTTAGTCTTGCTTCGCCTTGGCCTTGAGGTTGCACAAAACCTTCATAACCGATAGGGGACGACCCTATACCGATACCCCATTTGTGATGCCACTGAATTCCTCAACCGATAGGGGAGGACCCTAATTTGTGAATGGCATCAGATTTAACATATAATTTTGTCCACTACTCACATATATATATATATCTATAGGTAGTATAATATGCATACATATAGTATTTTACAAGTAAACAGCAACATAAAAACAGATTCTATCTACAGTATGCGCCATCAAATCCACCAGTTGCAGCAACCAGTTGCCGGGTCTATCGCAGGCCCTAAAGCTGTCGAAAGCGGAACTGACGATGGAAGACATCATGTGAGCCCGTCTCGCTTCAATGGGACCCGAGGCCAATGATTTCAATGTGACCCGAGGCCAATGATTTCAATGTGGGAACCAATGTGGGAACCCATCCCGTTCCGATGATTGTGGGCTTTGAAGATGTGAAAAAAGAGAAAACAGTAATTTTCTGTGACGTAGTGAGAATGGATGGGTAGATAAAGGATGGACAGAGAGGCAGACCGATGGATACTTCAGTCTTGTTTACATTATATGGTTGGTGGGTTCAAACATTTTTTATTTTCATAATATATGGGAAAATCCTTCCTATTGACTTTCATATTTTTCAAGATGGTTATTGCACCACCAACCAATCATTTTTGGTGGTAGATAGGATCATTTTGCATCAGCCATCTGTTTTCGGCACGGGAGATCCCAAAAGCATTCCTTTCATGGCCCATCGATCCCTGCAGCCAGGCCCGTCTTGTGGCATGTGAGGCGGTATCAAGGCTTAAGTCAGGTGGGGTCAGCGGTGGTCAGCTGTGCAGTAGCCAGTTTTACCACAACTTTTGGAGAAACTGACCAGGATTTTCTGATGTGGAAAAATTCATGGCCACTCCTTGTATGAAAGGAGTTGGATTCTCTAGGTACTAGATGTACCAAAGCTGGAGGACTGGACGCTCCATGCTGGAAGTTTCTCCATCAGAAATATGATGATCCCCGTGGGATGGGGCCAAAAGATAAGCGAACTCAGTTGAGATATGGCGCTGAATTCTATGGTTGATTAGGTCCACATAACGAACGATCGTATGCGAACTAGTTTTCATGGATCTTTTTCTGTGGTTTATTTCAACCAACTTATGTGGTAGATATAACATGATATATAACCATAGTTTGGTGATATAAGCATAGTTTGGTGATATAACCATAGTTTGGTGATATAACATGAACTACACGAACTACATGAATGATAGCTGGTGATATTTCACGACATACTTTGGCATCGCCAGACCGAGCTGGATCTTGCGAAGCAGCAGTTTGAGCTCTGCGACGAAGACGGCTCCGGAGGCCCCGGTGACACCGCGGGAAGTCACCGTGTTGAAAAACGGCGGCGAGATATCCTTTGGTCAGCCACATAGCTGTTGAAAATGGCCCATTGATAGATATTGATAGTTGATTTTCCCATGAAACATGGTGATTTTCCATAAGAAATATGTAAACGTTTACCAGAGGGTATGTTGAAGCTCTCGCTGAACATGTTGAAACTCTTTAAGCAAACTGCTGGTGAAACTCTGGGAACTGCTGGTTTAACAATTTCCATATTTTCAACAGGCATGAAAAACAGGCATTATTAAGAAATGAATTATCACATTGATATTCTTATTACTCCTCAAAAATTCACTTCAGGTCACAGACCTCTTCAGCGCTTCAGAAAGCCAGACATGCATTAGACATTTTGGGCAGCAGTGCTACAGCACATTTGGAGGATCATCGGTTGGTAACCATTGTTAGAAGTTATACACAATCTATGGGACAACCATGGATAACCAGCTGTGGGATAGCCTGAAGGTGAACGACAACATGTATTCATAATAGCCTGGTCATGTGTGGGATACACATATGTTTATCAATTTTCACACATATAAAGTTTACAAAACATAGTTTTCATTGTAGTTTATTATAAAACATAGGTTATTTCAGTTATTTCCCATTTTATCACCCCAGAATTTTCATCAATTTTCCATGTTTGGCATAGCATAGCGGCCACCATCCCCTTGGGGGCGCCCCTTTAATGGGGGGTGCTAGGCATGGCGTGCTCCGAGTTGGAGTTTGCCATCCGTTCTCTGGGCTTCCCTGTGTCCTATGATGAGGTTCAGGACTGAAGCATGGTGATGGCATGGTGGTTGTGAGCACCATCACTGTGAATCACAATGACCTGGAGCTCTGTGAGCAGTTTTCTCACTTTTCATGGTGGTTTCTTAGCTGTTTCCTTGTAGTGGCCGTCAACCATTTCGGGAGTCTATATACGTTTTTTTTTTTTTAAATATGTGTTTTTTTTTTTTCCTGGGCAGCTCCCCCGCAATCCACCTACCATTGGGCCAACAGCAGGATCAGTTGGATATCTGGGACATGGACGAGTCAGGAGAGATCGAGCAACTGGGCTGAAGTTGGATGGCTGGGGGTTGGGATTGCCGTCTGCAACTCCTCGTTTTACAACTGAAACGATGGGTATTTAACCATCGAAAACGATGATTTTTCACCAGCAGAGATGGCAAGACAAAACCATTCAACATGGGATCTTGATGGGGATTAAGAACCAATGATGATCTGTAAAAATAGCATGATACAATGATATAGCACATGATGTTTCTCCATTCATCATTAGACTAAGACGATGATATGATATGATATGATATGACATGACATGACATGACATGACATGATATGTAGGTTGTAGATTGCATAATCCCATCCACCATTCGCGGCCGTAGATGATGGGTCATGGTTGGGGTGATGATAGAACTCTCCTAGATGTTGCTTTCGAGATGTTTCAAGTTTAATCACATGCGATGATTAGAACCACTAGACAACCATTGTGTCTTTCTGTTCTGTATAAACAACGTGTCGATCCTGAGTAGGATTGGCTGCGGGAAATCAGCGCATTGGCATCATAGCAGTGGAGAGTTCAACATAGCTATGGACCATGATGGACCATGATCCATCTGCAGATGATTTTCCCAGCGAGCGAAACCTCCATTGATGGTTGGGATTTTCCATGGCTATGTTAGTCATAACCAGATGGCTATATGTATGATTTACTGTATCTTTTCAAAATGGTAGGCTTTCAATGTTTTCGATCGCACACTGAAACAAATTACCATTTCGGGTACCCCTTTCTCAGGTTCGTGGAGTTTTTGAAAGTGGTCTCCTACTACAAGAAGAAGGCGTCCGGTTGGGGGGGCATGGGATGAATGTTCATGGTATATTTTCACCAGAATATACCATGAAAATGTACCATGATAATGTACCACGATAATTCAAGATGATCATAACTATCATAATAATTATCATGGTATAGATCATGATTATATACTATCATATATGCTGATGATAATATTATTATGGTACATACTATCATGGTATCCCCACTATTATAATGGGTATATATATACGGCCAAACACCTTGATTTGCCCGCGCTTGTCGGCGGCCATCTTCGTATGTGCTGAAAACGTGGTAAAAATGGGAGTTTTTTGCATCATGGCTAACTTCATGTTCTATATCGGCACGCACAGCATAGGGACCTGTGCGAGTCTCTTACACATCATCATCATCATCATCATCATCATCATCAAACCCTTATTGAAGATCTTCAATGAATGTAGAAGTTTAACGGGGGTGGGAGAATTAAACCCTCATTGAAGATCTTCAATGAATGTAGAAGTTTAACGGGGGTGGGAGAATTAAACCCTTATTGAAGATCTTCAATGAATGTAGAAGTTTAACGGGGGTGGGAGAATTAAACCCTTATTGAAGATCTTCAATGAATGTAGAAGTTTAACGGGGGTGGGAGAATTAAACCCTTATTGAAGATCTTCAATGAATGTAGAAGTTTAACGGGGGTGGGAGAATTAAACCCTTATTGAAGATCTTCAATGAATGTAGAAGTTTAACGGGGGTGGGAGAATTAAACCCTTATTGAAGATCTTCAATGAATGTAGAAGTTTAACGGGGGTGGGAAATTTATATTCCCTAAATACCCTTGTTGATCTCCCCAATTGAATGTAAAGTCTAACGTTTGATATCCCCAAGTGTACAGCATAGAAGGGGTGTGGGCGAATCGGGGTGTTTGCGCGTATATATATATTATATATATTATATATATATATTATATATATATTATATATATATATATTATATATATATTATATATATATATATATTGTGGGCATTATGTCATAGCATGGTGTGGTGCATCGGATCATGGAGCAACGACGACGATCACGTTGTTGGTGCAGTTTCAAGTTGTAGTCCAAACGATGACACGTCGGAAGATAGATATATATATATAATATGTATATATAATACATATGTATATATATATATGTGTATGTATATATATATATATGTGTATATGTATACATATATGTATATGTATATATATATATATATATGTATATGTATATATATATACACATGTATATGTATATATATATGTATATATATAAATGTATATATATATATATTTATATGTATAGACTATAACGACCTGAGTGCGACGTGACTGCTTTTTTTGATTAGTAAGGGGAAGAGTGTTTTTAACATTTATCTTATTTCAGGTTGGTGAATTCCAATATGTATCCATATATTCCGTCTGGTAAACATACAAAAAACGATGGGAAATCAACATGGGTAAGTCAACTATTTTTATGGCTAATTTCAATAGCAAACTGTTAGTTTATCCAGAGGGTATTTCAGATTGGTCCAAACGTGTCCAAACTCTGGGAGTAACAATGCGAGCTTAGCTTTTCGTGCAGAGATGATGCTGGCCGTTCCGTTCTCAGCTGCGAGATTGTGCGAGAAATGATATTCAAAATTTCGCCACAATATAGTACAATATGATATGATATATGATATGATATGATATGATACAATCTAATATCATACACACACATTATATAGGACAATGTAATACATAGGATAATATAATATGATATATAGTATAATATAATAATGTGGGTAAAACAATAATACACCACCCATTTGGGAATGGAAAAACATACCACCTATTCATGGTGATTTGGTGTTATTCTTGTTTTACCCACATTATATAGGATATGGTTGTTCACAACACTCGAAGCATATCATGACAACCAATCAACAAAGCCACAATTATATATATATATACACATTACATACACGATATTTCAATATATTAATATATATTAATATATTAATATATATGTATATATGTATATACAGCCACTCGGTTTGAAATTTGCTAGCATACCTTTGGTAGCTGAATTGTATCGAATTTTCCCACAGCCGACCAGGAGCTCCAGCAAGTTCTGCAAAACATGTTCACGGGATCCTTTAGTGTCCCTTTGGGCCGGAGGATGGCTGATTTGGGCGTTTTTGGCGGTATGACCCAGACAGACTATGGCACTATGGCCACAGAATTTTCCTTGGATGGCATGAATTTTCCACCAGTTTCATGTCCTTGCCTTTACCATAGGAAATTGACCAAAGATGTAGGTTCTGCCTGCTTCAGGAGCCTTGCAAGGTAGTTCATGTTTAAAAAAAAAACACGGGCGTATCCCGTCATGCCTGCCAAAGATAGTTCCAGTCTCCTGGAATTGGTAGGACAATTTACAGGACCTTCTTTATACTTGTTGGTCACAATCATGGTTTCCTGATGTTTCCCGTAGATTTTCCCCTGAGTCAGTTGGGTTTTCCTGATGTTCACCAGCCAAGTTTTCGGTGCTTTGTTCCCAACCCACCCTGAGGACTTCATGGTGAAGTCCGAATAATTTGGATGGCGAAGTTCCATTTTTTCTCGATCAACCCCGCTGGGTCCCATTTTTTCGTTCCGCGGTTCCGCGCGGTGCCCAGTTGAGCCTTCAGAAGAATATGACCCAGCGGCGTTTCTCCAAGGCGCGAGCAAAGTCACTGTGTTGATCTGAAAACCAAGGGGGGAAGTTCATCATCCTCTGGTAAACTAACATAGCTATTGAAAATGGCCATTTATAGTGAGTTTTCCCATTGAAAATGGTGATTTTCCATAGCTATGTTAGTTTACCAGAGGGTATCCAGCTGATTCCCAGCGATTTGGCTGCGAAAAACAAGGGATTCCCAGCTGTGATTCCGGGTCAAAACTTTAGACCCAGCAGCTGACACGAATGGATACGGAGCTTGGGAATTCAGCGAGAAAAGGGAACATAGACCAAGAATGGATGTAGATGTACCTGGAACTGACATGTTTTTTAGGGTTCCACGGTCGATTTCTGGGGTGTACGGAACTGTATGTCTATGATGATGTTTCAACAATTCAAGACCGAAGGACAGCAAGACGTTAGAATTTTGGAGTCCTTAACATATCAAAGGCAGTATCATGGGTATTCCGTCAACACCGCCCAACGATTACCCCATGATGATAGAATGTTAGCAAGCCTTTACCACTGGTTGTTGCTGGTTAATAAACCCTCAATAAATCTTAGTACAGTACAACTCAGTACAACCGATTTTGAAGCATGCTTCTACAAAATGAAGGGGAGACATAATTGACGCCCTGCCACCTCTTACGTGCGCAAAAGGCAGGTGAGCTAAAGCGCGGCAAGGTGGGGCAAAACGGCAAAACGGCCGTGTGGGATATGGGTCCCTTGGGTCCTCAAAAATATCAGATTTTGGGATCTCAAAAATAAACCCATCTGCTGCCTGAAAATGCCAGGGTATATCTACATCTAGGGTAGACATAAACCCATAGATGCTGCTATAGATATACGTAGATATAGATATAGAAATGGACATGAGACAGTTCACTACTCCGCAATCGTAGATGCACCTGAGCGAAAAAACAAAAAATCCAGTTGGTCCGGGTTGTGGCAGCACAAACAGGCCAGTCATAGATTCCCCAACGACAGTTGTCGGTTTTAGGTGGCATCATCTCACTGTTGTCCTGTTGTTGTCATGGTAGCCATTTTGTTATGGCAATGTCCCAATGTCCTAAAACCGCTCCCACAAACATGGACCACCAGTTTGAGTTTGAGGAGTTTAAGGCGTCCCAAAGTTTTGAGCAGACCTAGAATCAGAGTTGTTCATATGATTCAATGATACATGATATGTTTGTCCGCATATATATATATATATAATAGACGCACGTACAGAGACATACAGAATCATACATGCATATATTGTACGTGTGACCTATATGCAATGTAATGCCATATGCGTGATGTAAATCCTCCTGTTTGTTTTTCACAAAGCACCGCGGTGTCAGTCGGAGTTGCCCTCCATGCTTTTAAGCTCGGGGCATTGCCCCTTGCGACAGGACGGGAGTTGTTTATCGGAAAAATGAGGCTCTGATCAAGAAAAAACATATAAAACAGTGGGATATCGTACTCCCAGCAAAAAAGGGCGGTTTGAGATTATCCCAGTTTACCTGTCGCAAAAATGGTAGGTTTTTAGTGTCAATATTGGGAATGATCAGTTAATTTTTTTTTTCACGGGCTGACTGGATTAGGTGAATATCCCCACTGACTGATCTAACTGGGAGCCTTTTTAAAACCCAGTTCCATCAAAAAACACTCCACCAGGTGGATACCAGGTATGACCCTGAGACTATCATTGGCTTTAGAGGGGCAAACAATGCAGGAAACCATGGTTATCAAGTGTTTTCAATGTTGCACTGCTTTGGGTTTCCTGTAAGTTTCCTTTGATCTATATAATCCATGTCTGGAACATTGCATTTGCCCCTGGTAATTCCACATAGCGGTGGAAAGTGCCCATTTTGAATGGGTAAATCATCTGCAAACGGAGCATTTTCCAGAATTAGCTAACGTGGGTAAAACAATGTCCTAAGCCATCCCCCAAATCACCATAAAAAGTTGGTATGTTTACCATTTCCAGTCATGGGTGGTTTATGGCATTGTTTTACCCACATTAGTTTCCCAATGACATTCCCTGTGACATTCCCTAATGATATTCCCTATGATATTCCCTATTTGGTTTCATTTCCAACTCACCATCTTGATATTTATTGGGGATTGTCCACTATAAACCATCCATTTCGGGGTTTTTCCATTTATGGAACCCCCTCATTAGCTATTCGAAATGACCGGTAGAACTGTGGCCCGCCACGACCCACTGCCCCAGTGCCGTTTAAGCGAAGGACAGCGGCGTCCTTCGCAGTCTCAACCTGAGGGTATGCCTGAGGAGAGCGCATAGACACGGACACAGTGTACGCCTATGACACGGTTATGATATAGTTATATTGTTACATGGATCATGGACACATGATACATGTGTTATAGTTATAGTATACATATATACATATATATATATATATACATTATATGGCTATGAAACCCCGGGAATCGGGAATTTCCGAGGCACGGAGGAAGACGAGACGGAGCGCCTCGGGCCTCGAGACGTTGTGGCTGGTTTTACCATTGGTTGGTTGATCCATATAGGTAATAGCATTAATATCCCTTGATTAATGTCATTTAATGTCCATCTTTTACTATGGTAATCTATGGAAAGTTGATTATTGTAATGATTAATATGGATTTTTTCTATATTCTACTATGGAAATCTATGGAAAGTTGATTAATATCCATAATACTTCAATGTTGATTAATATCCCTTGATTAATGTCATGCAATGTCCATCTTAGATCTATGGAAATCTATCGATTGATATGGATTGATATGGAATCATATGGAATCTTCTGGGAATATGTTGGTTGATGGATGGTTGATATCTTTTGGATATGATTTACCAATATTTTTTAAAGATATCCAATGGTAAATCCAATGGTAAATATGGATCCATCTGGAAAATTATGGGAAGCTGTTTTTCTTTCATTTCTATGTCCCCTAGCCCTTTTCAAAGGCAAATCGCCACCCGTGCCGTGATTCAACATCCGAAACATCCGGAATGTTCGCCACCCGACACTGCTTTCTGGGTGCGGACCTCAGGTTGAACCTCTGGGGGTTCTCCAATTTGATCTCTGAGTACCGCCGGGTCCGGGGACCCCGAGGGACCCATTTTTTCAAACCTGGGGGACCTGGACCGTCCCTGGGACCGGTCCCTGGGTCTGGAATCATCATAGCTAAAAAGCCTCTGGTAAATAAACTTGACCCGGAAAATCACCCATGTTGAATGGAAACTCATCTTCCAAGCCCTATCTGGCAGGGTCTATGTTAATTTACTGGAGGGTAATATCCTTTATGAACAGAGAAAGGCTATGAAAGGCTATGAAAGGCTCAGTATCCTTTGATGATGGACGAAGGATGATAAAGGCTACAATAGTCCTGATATCAGTCCATTTTTCGGGCCATGAAACATCTCCACAGACATGTTTGGTGCGAAAAGCAGCTGCGGGCTCTTTCAGACTTCTCAGTGCAACCACAGGAGCCCCCCCCCAGAAAACCATCTGGGAATGTATTTAGTCAATATATCCCAATTCATGCCAGTCACAAATGGATAGTTCATCCTACTATATCCAAATGGGATGAGTGTGATCCCTTTCAACTCAACGCCTCCAGTTCCTTCCCCTGCCGGCAAAATTGCGACGGCGCTCATGGCCAGGAGATTAATGATGAGGTGAGGCGAAATCACGGCTATACCCCAGGTGAAGTGGAAGAGTTGATGCAACTTTTTCGTGCCCTGGCATCGACAGCGAGCGATCTTGGGGGATCTAAGATGATCTAAGGTCGGCCCAAAATGATAGTTGGACTAATTGATTGATGGGGGTTTTGTCTTTCATTTGGTCAGTACCTCGCTTAGGCCTACGGTTTGGCTCGCTTGATCCTACGTCACAGATAATTATATGATGATATCAACCTTCCTGTGCAAGTTGCTGCCCATGGTTTTGGATAGTTATGAAGTCTTCAGTGATGAACAGGAAGGTTCGCCAGGCTGGTGTCATAGTGAAGGATTTATATGATGAAATCTTCGTTGAGCCCCCAGGTAGCCAGGTTTATCTGTTTATCCCCGTAGGCGCGTAGCATTCGGAAACTCCTCAAAGATGCCATAAATTGTCCACTATCCCCGGTCCCCCCGAAAGATAAACCCTAAAGGTGTCAATCCACATCCAAGAGTCGGACGGCTTTTTTGTGATCCTGGGACCTCAGGGGATCTTAGTAATGATCTACGGTCGGCACAAAATGATAGTTGGACTAATTGATTGATGGGGGTTTTGTTTTCCAAACGGGAGAAAGTCTATGACCTATGAATACACTCAAAATGCATCGGATTTTTGAAACCACAAAAACAAAAAGGCACTCCTGGCAGAAGATATATGTGCGTCCCAGAAACATGGAACACCCAAGTCATCCAACATATCCCCAACTTGTGGACATATCAGGACATATCCAATCTTTGTTAGGAATTTACTTTGGTAGGATCAAGCATAGGAACGTAGTTCCAACCTTGTAGCATTGCTCTAGCAGTGGCCATCTGCATAATCCTGATGATTTTCGCTGACGATTGTCGATTCGGGTCTTAGTTTATGTGGCTTTCAGTGGGATTTACTGGGTATGCAATATGCATGGTCTGAATCCCTGTGACATCCTATGAATCCATTATGAGGTAACGTCAAACAGCTTTTCACTACTGATCAGATATAGCCTTGTGGAAGAGCCCCCTATGCATCTGCAAAGTTGTACAGTCTGTGTCATGTACGTTTGCATCTGTTTCTATCCCATCATACATCAACATATCTACTGTAAGTACTAGTATAGAAACCATTGACTAATCACCGCAAACGAACAGTGTGTACATTTGAGTGTGTACATTTGCTTGCATTTCCATCCCATGTTCAGAATACATCAACATTAAGAATTGTAAGTATACAATATGGCCATTTTTCCATACCGTGGATGGTTGCGAAATCCTTCACCGGTTGGTAGAGGGTTTAAACCCTTTTTTGTTCTCCCAACTGGTGATTTGGGTTTGGCATCCACATTACCACCAGTAAAATCCGTGTATTATAGAAATACCACATGTATAAAGAACATTAAAGAACCATATAGTAAAAATCTGCCACATATACACCGTTGCATTCCAAAATCCAGAAAAAAATCCGATCGAAAAGGACCGCAGAAATCCGAGAAACCGGTGCTCCGTGCCATTTTTCGCCATGATGCCCGATGCCCGAGGTGTCTATGACCCGGAGAACCAGGGTGTGATCGCCAAGCGCCAGCTGAGACGACTTCTCTTGGATTGCGTGCCGCAGGCCGAGAAGAGCCAGGCCACGCGGCCGGACCCGAAACGGTGATTTGGGGGATTTGGCCTCTGAGAATTCGAAGTAGCTATGGAAAATCCATCATTTTTGATGTATAATATATATATATTACATATATATATATTATATATATATATGGTCCCGTCCTCCGTCTCTCCACCCCCCCCCATGGGTTGGGTCCCCAGGTAGCAGCCCCAATTCCCTTCTATTTGCAAGCTATTGGCAGCTGAGGTCCAGCTGCGTATTTGCTAGGTCTTTGCAGCATTTCTGACTACCAGCCTCGCATTTACTAGATACATGCTACCTTTTAGGCGGCCTACGTAGCACACATACTCCTTCAAAGTACCTACGTGCTACCTATAGACTATGTATCTACTGACTATACTCTGACAACACTACCTGTGGATGTTGATGGCCATCATATGATGTAATACCATACGTACACCTACCATACATACAATAGCAAACATACATGCCATACATACCACACCTACCTTACATAGGCCATACCCATATATAACCATACATACCATACAGACCATACATACTGTCATATCAAACATACCATACAGACTTACATACCATACCTACCATCCATACAATACCAACCACTCATGCCATACATACCATACCTACCAAACATACCATACTTTCCAAACATGCCATACCAGACCGACCATACCATACATACATACCATATATATATTATTATATATGGCATGCATATATATATATATATATATATATGTATATATATATATATATATATATTACATATATATATATATATGATATTTTATACTATGATAAATGATTTTGGGTGAGATTTAGCCTCTCAGAATGTCAAGTAGCTACCCCTTGACCCAAGCACCAACGGCAGGCCGGACGCGAACAGATCGCCCAGATGATCAAGGCAAGGATTTCTCACCGCTGAAATATGGTAAGATATGGTAAAATAACCGTCTATGAATACCCGTAAGCATACATTTTCCAGGGCAGATTTCCATTTTTAGAAAAAAACATGGAAGCTGGTTGGTGGTTTGGAACATGAATTTTATGACTTTCCATTCAGTTGGGAAGTTCATAATCCCAACTGACGAACTCATATTTTTCAGAGGGGTAGGTCAACCACCAACATCGGGATTTTTCATTGTCGGGCTGGCCTTGTCGGGTGATGGTAATGGATGGTCCCCACGAACAATTGCAGGGGCATGCAGTTTACCATGCAGCCTTTCGGTATACGAGACCTGAGACCCATTGGTTGCTAGCGAACGGCTTCAGAAATGTGTGAATCTTTTTTTTTTTGTGGTGATTTTGCCATGGAAAATTTCATGTTGTGAAATTTTACGTCTGGTCATATGGCTATGGGTCAATACCTATAGATACATTACTATAGTGGGATGAACATCCATTTACCAGTTATTTGGGGTTCACTAGGGTACCAAGGTTTTGATTCATACCCATATTTGTTTGTTAAGGATATCTGTGCTCGTTGATGGCGGTGATGTTTGTTGGTACTGGCCATCTCGGATCCGGTGCGCCGTGTCAGGAGAGTGATGCGGATCGCTCTGGTAGCATTGACTTCCAGGAGGGGCTCAAAACCATGGGTCACTTCGATTGTACCATCTGGTTATGACTAACATAGCCATGGTATAGATGGCCCTAATCGAAATAGATGGTTTACCATGGTTTACCTATGAAAATAGCATGGTGGATCTTTCCATGGCAAACTGTTAGTCATAAGCAGATGGTAGCATAGAAAACATTCAGAAAGTTGAGGGTCAATGAGTCAATACGTACGAGGCCTTAACTGGCCATTCTTCCTCATTTGATCTTCCCCTGTGGCGTTTGGTAGCAGCTACCCGAAGAGCCAACTCCTTAGAGGTAGAGGATGGGTCTCAAAATGGCCTCAGAAATGTCATGGTTGAGAACATCCTTTTACCCATTGAAGTTGATTATTTGAAGTCATAATGTTATAGTTATATAGTCATGCTTATATTTTCCCCATTGAACCTGTGGTATGACATTGGTTGAAATGTTCCCCACGGATATTTCTCATATTCAGCCCCAAGTCCAGCAGGAATTCCTCTTGCTGATGCGTTTGGTGAGCAACCGCTGTAGCCGAGAACGATTGGCAACTTGGGCTAAGAAATTCATGGCAGCTTTGATTCCCCTCATGCGGATGCTGCCCGGATGGCGACTGGCTAAAAGGTGGCCCTTTTCAAAGCCCGGATCGGCGACTGGCGAAGAATTCCGGTCGTTGAAAAAACATCTCCGGACTGTCCCCACTGCGGGATTTCTCACAAACCCATTGAACATTGGAGTTCTGCTGTTGTGCTATGCCCGCTGGTTGCTGGATCTGTGCTTGGGAAGGTCTTAAAATGTTGTCTGAATCATTACTCCAAATGATGTGTAATTTGAATTCCAGGTCTGGGGTTTGTACATGGACCCAGTATATCTTTGATCTTTCTCACCACTTTTGCTGGTAGCATCCTCACACTCTCTTCCTACTGTTCATAAACATCCACCAACAAACCCTGATTCGGTGGTAGATCTATTCACTGGTTGGTGGTTTCAAACATTTTTTATTTTCCATAATATATGGGATAACCCTGCCCATTGACTAATATTTTTCAGAGGGGTTGAAACCACCAACCAGTTCATTTTGTGGCCCCATTTTCGCGGGGGTGTATCATAATCAGATGATGGGATGCTTTTTGGTTAGCTCCACCATTTCTGGCGGTTCACTCCACCCCGAAAATTTGTCTTAAAATCCACCACCATTTTTATTGTGATCAAATGGTATGGCTGCAAGCGATATCCCAAACATGGATGTTTTATGACCGAACATTCGATGACGCTTCGAAAACTGGGTGGTGTTTGGTGTGTTTGGTCATTACGACTACTGTAAGAATCAGAATATTGGACTATTGATCTCGACCCTGGAATACTACTGTAAGAATGATGGTTATCAAACGTCCATTTTTCACCATCCACTATCCACCGGAAGCGAGGCCAAAGAACGTGCAGCGGCAACTTGGTGAATTGGGACATCATTTGAGTTGAACTATGTTTCATGGTTTTTAGGCATGGCTAAAATGGGGTTAAAACGGTTGACATGGTCAACAAGTATAAGTGGTTGGTGGTTTGGAACATGACTTTTATTTTTCCATATATTGGGACTAGTAATCCCAACTATATAATATGTTTCAGAGGGGTTCAAACCACCAACCAGAAGTATAGTTAGCACAGAAGCCAAAGCATTAGGGGCAGGCGCATTAGGCTGTTTAAGCAGACCATGAGGATTTGAATGGATTTTACCAATGACTGTGGATGTTACAGCCAAACTAGGCCAAACTTGCGATGATCTTTGTATTCTATCCTTGAGCATGGTATGACTTGGTATGACTTGGATTCACACAGTCGGCATAGCGTGACTATATCTTCTTGTTTTTGCATATGCATATGTGCATCTGTGCAGTGTATGGCTCTTCACAGAATATCGTGGAATAATGTGTAATATGACAAGCATAAATCCAATGATTGGTGGACTTGCTTTTGAGCAGTAGATTTGCAACAAGCATCCCATGGTGGTGTGTTGGCTAACGGGACGGTGCTTGGCAATCGTTCCCCATCTCCCAGAATTGGTTTCAATTTTCATCGATTTTGAACGAAGAAAAAGAGTTGTCGCCTCCACATAACCCATCCCCTTAAATGTTAAACACCCCCATTCTATGGTCCGCCAAAAATGTATATCTCAGATCTCCTACGAAACCATGGTTTCTTGGGGGTGTTTGTATATATAATTTAATATTACAGTACTAGGGGGAAGGAATTTATTTATGTCCATTTCACATTGGTTAAACCATGTTAAACCCACTGTTCCCATGTATTTCCAGTCGCTGAGGTGGTGGCTACCCACTTCAGTGTCCGCGACCTGCGGGAATTCCGCAAGGTCTTCAAATCCTACGCAACGTGGGGAGACCTGGGGGTTCTTGTAGGGCAGCTTGAGAAAAGGTTGGATGGACAAGAACAGGTTGGGAAAAAGGGGGAAAAAGCCACTGGAAGATCACGATGGCTTTACAAACAGAGCATGGGGGTTGTTCCTATGGTTGGTTTACCTCGGCTTTTCCTGTTCCCCGTTGAGAGCGTTGAACGATGTTGAACCTCCCCACGGCTCCAGAAACAGCAGCGGCGACATGAGCTTCGAAGAGCTTCAGAGCATGCTGGGCAGCATAACCCGAGCTGCGCAGGGCGCGCGAGGGAGCCAGGACGGGGGACGGTTGGACGGTTGAAGGCGTTTTTCAGAAGGGGTGTGGCTTTGTCAGGTGACATATGGGGATGTTTACAACCAATTTTGGGATTATATAGTGGGATATGATTAATTGGTATTAATTGGAATGCCAACAAGTTGGTGGCAATTCATCTAATTAATGAATTTCAGACAAGCCCATCAGTGGAATAGATGAGAAGGTGATTGGTGATGATGGGGACTGAGCCAATAGACTGGGGGGTACAAAGCAAATGGAGGCATTCCAACCAGCACAATTCAGGGAATGACAGAGGATATGGTTGTTTGTTCACGCTTTTAGTTGGGGTTTTGGACAAGTTGCTAGTAGGGATTTTACCATGGCTCGGATGGGAAGATTGGTCGTGTCAACTGCCGTTTACTGTGCTGTATAGCCCCCTTTGCTGTAAAATGGTGTTCCTTTGGGTCGATTGTTGGTTTCGTATGATGACGTGTGACGTGTGCTGTGTGATCCGGGGGTTTTTGCTCCTCTGATTTGTACAAGCCCGCAGAAACAGGGCACCTCTGTGATGGGCTGTTGAACATCCTTTTGGCTGGAGCGGCTGGAGGGCGGTGAATGACTCAAAATTTATGAATTGAGAACAACCAGCCAAGACCAAGAATGACTAGTTGGTGGTTTGGAACATTTTTTAGTTTTCCACATATTGGGAATACTAATCCCAACTGACTTTCATATTTTTTAGAGGGGTAGGTCAACCACCAACCAGATGAACTCTTTTGCTGCGCAGACAAGATCAGCCATGATGAATTTATTGATGAGTTTCACTCCTGTGATTCCAACGGGAACACCCTCCACATCCAGGAATTGCTTGAAATTCTGAGGAGGCCAGGGGCTAAAACCGGGGAATGTGGTACTTGCGCCTGCTTGTCCATAGGTGGGAATGCTAGTAAAGCAATAAACATTTTGATAGTTTCCATCACCGATTTATAGTAAACTTAGGGATGGTTTACTGTTTCTTTACTCAAATTACACTACTTTTGGGACAACTCCAAAAAACTAAAGTGATGTAATCTAATCAGTAACAATCTAACTCCAAAAACTAAAGTGAATTGGGACAACGCAAGAATCTCATGCTTTGTTTGAGTGTTCAGACTTCCGATCAGAGGACTCCGATGCTGCCCCGATCCCGGCTGAGGTACTCGCAAGGTGACAATGCGGTGGACTTCCCTGAGTTCTTGCATGTGATGTCAGCGGCTCCCAGTGTCCTCCGTTGTGTTTTAAGAACTCAAAAAAGATGGCCGAATGAGTTTGTTTGAAAATAGGTTAGTCCAAAATCCGGCAGAAAAAGGATGTTTTCCTATTACATGGAGCTCCATTTTCAGAACCCAAATGATAACCAGTTCCATCCAGTTCCATCCAGAATTTTCGCAGCCTGCTTTCCTTTGGGCCATCGATTTTTTTCAATTTGGCCAGGTTTTTGGGTAGGAGATTCGTTCGCCAGATCGGTGTTTACATGACTGGGGGCTCCAGCAGCTCTGTCTGTTCGGCAGATGATTTTCGAATTGGCTGTGGCTGTCAATGTCAGTGGATATGGGGATGGGTCAAAACTTATTACTGCCATATTTTGGGGAATAAACAGGCATAAACCATCTATTTAGGGTCCCCAGGGTACCAGGGTTTTGACTCATAGCCATATGCAAAGTGGCTCCTGACTGTTTTTGAATGTTTTGACTTACCCCAACCATCGATGATTAGGCATGTGACATGTGTTTGCCATTGTTTACCCACATTGAAAAAGGCACCTCCCTCATCATGGGATGGGCGGCAAATTCGTGGCTCCCAGATTTGCCATGCAAGCTCAACATTTTGATGATAGGTGACGCAAGTGACGTAAAGAATTGTAGAGGACATCAACAAATTCTGGTTGGTGGTTTGGAACATTGTCATTTTTCCATATATTGGGAATAACGATCCCAACAGACTTTTATATTTTTCAGATGGGTAGGTATACCACCAACCAGAATCAAACTAAGGGAAGAAACTGAAGCCAGTCGTCGCTTCCGAGAAACAATATATGGTAGGTCTGAAAATAGAGCAACAACAAATTCCATCGGTGAATCATCATTTTCCGTATATATATATATTCACAATTATACACATGTATTATCAACATATTCGACATATTCTTCCATATTCTTTCAATTCCATGGGCAAAAACTGAGGCGGGACTTGGTGGCACACAACTGGGGGAACATCAACGCCTTGACGCAACTTGGAACGACGTGTAAGCGGTTTGCGTTCGGGATTCCCTTCCGGATCACTTGCCATGGTTCAACCGGGTCAACCGGGGTCGCATCTCAAGCCCAACCTTTCGGTCAAACGCAAACTTCGATGACATTTGGAGCTGATTGGTGGTTTGGAACATGTTTATTTTTCCGATATATTGGGAATGTCATCATCCCAACTGACTTTCACTCCATGATTTTTCGTGGAGAATTTAGGAGATCTTTCTGATTTCTCAACCCAAACGGGAGGAGCACTTTGTTGACCTCCCGCCCAAGGGCGAAAGCCCCACCTCCGGAGCCAACGCCGGAAGTGGATGCCCTGCTGCCGCCGCCGGCGCCGCCGCCGCCTGAGCCGCCTGATCCGCCGGCCGAGGCAGAAGCCCAGGCGGCTTCTGGCTGATGTCATCCCATGGTGATTAGATGTTAGGCGCATACTGCATACTTATTGATCAGATCATGAGGATTTGTGAGGATTTCTATATGGATTGTTATACTTAGATTATGATTGAATTTCTTTTGCTATGAAGATCCATGAAGGGTCAACTTTTTGGGTCTTTTGAAGCTCCTTCTCAAAAGAGAAGGCTAGTTAATGTGCTCGGCCACACAGCATCCCAAAGGACTGTGTGATCAGCCCTTTGGGCAGTCTGTCAGAAGTGACGACCGCAGTTGTCCCGAATGGGACCGCACAGCACAAGGAAAAGAACAATGTTGCCGTTTGCGCCAACAGTTGGGTGTGACTTGACAACCAAATTTGAAGCCCCTCCCGCTATGCAAGAATGGATAGCAACAGACTGTCCAAGGCGGCAACCCTGGGAATGCGTGTTGGAGCAGTGTTTCAGCATGGATCCCCCCGTAGTCGCTTCATGCAAGCCTGATTGCTTCAAGACTGCAAAGATCTTGAGGCTTACACCACACATCTATGACTTCAATCGGCTGATTTTCATGGCGCATAGAACTCTGACTCTCAACACCATTGTTGAAACAACCCGCAGGTTTTTTTTTGAGGCATTTGCCAAACACACCCTGGGAAATCCTCCCTTTCGAAGTTTGAAATTTTGGAACGCCATGGCGGCCAAATCTTTGCCAGATATCCTGGATTTGGGCTTTGTCGCCCGAGATCCCAGCAAAAAAAAACAGCGATGACCGATGTGCATCCTGAAATGGTGAGTTGGTAAATGATGTAAATGGGATTGCCCTATTTAACAACATCATTCTATATACCTCAATGCTTGGGTCGAAAAAGCCGGGTATTTAAAATGGTATTTTTCACAACTGTAAATGATGTAAATGATGGTTACAACTGGGTACCTCAGTGGATCCCAGTGGTCACATGTTCCTGTGGTATTTCCATATTCAGATGAAAAATAGGGGACACCCCACGTGGAAATCCCCATGTAAATGGCGATTTTTAGCCGGGAAAGTGATATTTATACCATTTTATACCACTAGATCTAGTTAGATTTGGATAGATGAGTGATTATACAATATTATAAACCACTAGATTGGGGGGTTAACCTATTTTCAGATCCATATTTTGAGATCGCCCGAGGCCTTGAAACCCCGTGTGGGTGAAAACGGCCTTGCCGAACTGGTGCTGCAGGCTGTCCGGCCATTGATTTTTCATGATTTTTCTACTGGCGGAAGCGGTGCATCTTCACGGTCCACCCTGCACTGCACCATGATGTGGTTACATATAACATGCTAGACAAATGTTACATGATAATATAGAAATGCGGGTACCCCCAAATCATTCATTTATAGATGGCTTTTCCACTAACCATCCAGCTATGGGGGTACCCCCATGACTATGGAAACCTCCATATGTATATAGTATAATATCATGTAAATGTTACAACCACTTGCCAATTGGGATCCAATTGGGATATCTTGAACTCCCGTGGTTTGAAGCTCCGCTCGTGCAGGCGGCAGACAATCCCTTCACGCAAGATGGCGTGGAACGGATGACGGACAGTGCCGGGCTGGGTCCAGCCTGGAGAAAAGATGGCGCGGGGTGTACCAAGACGAAGTGAGATGGGGATGTAACAAACGAACATGGCGATATGACGTTGCCAAAAGGGGTGGTTCAATCGAATGAGTCTTGCAGTAAGTTTGGGACACACATGAACAACCCAAATCTTATGCAGAAATTAATCAGCTGAAACTATTTGATTCCTTGGCCATCGTTTTTTCAGAACGCGTGCTCACACAGATGCTATTTCTTAAGCATAATGTAGAAAAAAAACTGTAAATTACAGTATATTTTGCATCACATTGCTCCGAAATTTAGCTAACGTGTATATTTTTGAACACATCCGGGCTGTAATGCTAACCACGTCATTCTCATTACAATGGCATTTTCAAATACTGTTTGCTGAACCCTCATATGACGATTAAGTACCAAACCAAGAAAAGCCTCGAGAAACCCAAACATACAATTAAAAAAAAACACAATTCTCAGAGACTCTTTGGGGAGGGCCACCCTCCCCCCATTGTTGTTGTTGGCAGGCGGGGGGGCTTGCAGGGGGCTGGCTTTTGGGGCCGCCCTGCACACCTGATAGTGTCTGAAAATACCCTTGCAAATCTATCCATTTGGTTCACCCTGGGAAAGACCCATGATCACAGTCACATCATAGAAGAAAAGTGCTGCTTCCAGCTACAGTGTGCCTTCTGTCAACCTGTGTTGTGTGGAACAAAAAAATAGATTTTGCCAGCCATGTGCGTGCGTGCAGACGGGCGGGCGGGCGCGCGGGCGGGCATGGCTGTATGTGTGTGTGTACCATCTGAACAGATGTAAAACTTCTGATTGGTTTTCACTAATTTGCAGGGGGCCACGGCTCCATTCATCAGTCCGTGGCCAACGAAGCTACTGATGTTTGGAGAGGATATGCAGTCTGATCAACTGCACGTACCTGCTTTTTTCGGACATAGCAAGGGGCCAAGCTTAGAACCCCAACCACAATATTATACAATTTGCTGCACTGTTGTCGCAATCTGGAATCAATTTTGAAATTTACATGCATCAGAACCTTCCTCAGATTTTCGCCGAAACCATATCGCCGACAGTATTATGTTTTTTGACTTATTTTCGCCGAGATCCTGTCGCCGACGAACTATGGGTTATTTTGGGAAACAATCGCCGAAACATTATTTTGGATTTCAACATGCTGGTCAAAACTCTATGGAATCTGGTTATGACTACGTTTGACAATTTCGGATGCCCTACATCGTTTTCGAGAAGTACCTCATGTGGCTCTTTTATTCATCAAATAATCTAGGCTGGTTTGCATGTTTCAGGATTCAGTTCCTGCCGGATCATATAATGATCCATTCTTGTCTAGTGTGATTTCCATGGTGGCTCCGACATGGTGCCATGGAGCCAATTGAGGCAACCCTTTTCAGGGTGAGTGATGACTGTCCGGACTACCGAATTTACGAATTTTAAGTTGGTAATTCATCTAAGTAAACTGCAACAGCCGGCCATACTGTTTTTCCTGCCTTTTGAGTTTGTCCCGCTGATCTTGCGGTCCCAGGGATTCCTCGCCGATGCGTTTCTTCAACTGTGCAGCCGTTCTGAATTGCCAGAAACCTCCGTTTTTGCAGCAACTTTTGCAGCGTCATATTGCATTATTTCACGACCTATGATCAGGCAGGCACACGACTTCCAGGTGTGGTATTCTTTCCTTTTGGTTCTCTGGTGAGGTGAAACATATTGTGCATCTAATTCGTTGGAACTTGAAAGCTGTTTTATGCCATTGCGGCACGACTTGACCACGGTCCCGGTGCAGGGAATAATTGCACGATTTTGTAGGTAGTTAGGGACTGAATCCTGTATGTGAAACTTTTTACAATTGTCCACTTTTGTTTTGACCTACTGCAGCGATGCATCCGTGGAACACTCCAACATCATGGCCTGCTCCACCACAGCCATCGAACCCATCTTCGACGTGGCCGCAATCGACACCGAGTGCACATTTATTTGGACATCCCTCGGCTTTGCATCCTACATGGTCATCCTCCGCTTCGCTCATGCCGTCTACATCCGCCCCAACATCGTTGCCGTTCACCTCATTGACTTCGGCTCCTCATGCAGTACCAGGTCCACAACTTGTACCCACCATGCCTTCACCTTTGGCTCCTGAACCAACTATGGTACACACCGCTCCGTCGACTTTTCCATCTCCTATGGCACCTACCGCTCCACCCGCGTGGCCTTCCACTTCGGCTCCATCCCCTACATCGACTACACCACCTACATCGACTATGACACCGACTCCTTTGCCCAGTTCTCCATACCCACCTCACCACATTCAGCCTCCATTACAGATGGACGCATCGACGATCCCTCCAAATGAGCCTTCACCACGGCCCCCAGCAGTCAAAGCAGCTCCCAGGCATCGCTCTGACAAAAGACCGGATCGACCGCGCAGACCAGCTTCGAAAACCCCTCCTCACGCTACACCATCGACACCTAAGACAGCACTGACTTCATCCGTGCCACCTGAACTTGCATCCCTGGGTTCCACCGCACAACAACTGGCCGAATCTGTTCGACTTATCCAAGCTCAGCAACTATTACTCATGGATTCTCAACGGGCACAAGAACAACGTCAACTCCTTCTTCAACAAGATGAACATCCACCGAATCCTACACCACAGATACCGCCACCTACACCTACACCACCACTGATCGCCACGCCTCCACCTGCACCAAAGGCCAGACCCACCGAACCGGACGTTCAGGACCATCGCATTGTCCCAGCTCCAACCATCGCTCCTCCTCACCAACCACAAGGTCCACCACCACCAACACGCCGACCACGATCCCGAACTCCAAGATCACGTTCCCATCGACCTTCTGTACATTCTTATCGCCATCGCCATTCTCCTCCACGTGCAGAGCGACCTCGTTCTCCTCTCCCTCGTCATCGATCATCTACGAAACCCGACAAGAGCCGCAGAACACCATCTCCACACAGACGACGCTCACCACCACGACGCCGCTCTCCTGTGGTCCCTCGACGTCACCGCTCCCATCCACGCCCACGCTCCGCGACACCACATCACCGATCCCGAGGCCGTGAAGTCATACTTCGACCTGCTGCAAACCCATCCAATCCGAACTACATTCCTACTCCTGATGCTGATGACACCTGGGGTACATGGAACGAAAGCCACTACAACGACGCCTACGACCACCACACTGCTCGACCCAATTCTCCTACTGATCCACCACCATCGGAACCACAAACCAACCCACCAACCCACACTTCAGCACCACTCGGCGCGGTGTCCTTCCGACTTCCGGACGGCGACAGTGAAAATTCTGAGGTTGCTGATACCATTTCGCTCACCAAGTTTGACACGAATGACATCGACCTCGATGAAATGGTGGCGGCGGCCAATGACCCCCATAGAGTTCGATGCCTAACCGAGCTTGG